TTTGAAAACAAACATTTCCATCTAAGAAATCAGTCCCCAATTTTTAATTCTACCTTATTTAATTTCTTAGGACATGAGCAGAATAAGAATGACCTGGGGCCAAATCACCACATAAATGACCTCTAGCTTAATTTTCCATGGAGTCTATTTTCCACTGAAATCCTATGATCTCCACTTCCTCTGTATTCCCTACACTCATTAAGCTCTGTACTTTTGACGTCTTAAGTCCTGGTATTTTCCACATTCCTCAAAAAAGAGAACATTCTCAGGTCTGTCCAGGAGCAAAGTCACTTTTGGCATAACTTTTTTTTTTTCCTAACCTGCTACTGTGCTGCTGTGATTGAATCACCTAACCACAAACATCTCAGGTCATGAATGGGTTTACTTGTTTGGTCCTGTCTGACCACAGTTTACCATTTTGGAAGCCTAGGATAGAAACTCAAGTTTCTGGAAAAGTAAGGCAAAAACCATGGCAAATATTCTGTCCCGCCTTGCTCTGTTTTTTTTTTTTTTTCTTTATCATCTCATGCTCAGCTAGCTCTCTATCCAACCCAAAGACACTTGCTCAGGGATATTGCCACACTCAATTGAAGAGCCTTCGATAGAAATCATCAGTCAACATAATCTCTCACTTACATAGAAAACAGCCATTTTCTGAGTTTATTTATTTTTTCACTTTATATCATGCTTGCAGCTCTGTACTTCCTCTCCTTCTGGTATCATCCTCCCACCCTCTTCCCTTACTCCTCCTCCCCTTCTTCTCAGGCAAAGGGAGCCTCCAAATACCAACTCTCCCCAGCACATCAAGTTGCATATGAACTAAGTGCATCTTCCTCCACTGAAGCCAGAGAAAGCTGCCCAGCTAGGGCAAAGTGATTCATAAACAGGCATCTGTGTCCATGTCACAGACAGCCCCATTTCAAATTCTAGGTGACCGACATGAAAACAAAGCTGCCCATCAGCTAGATATGTGTATGGTGCCTAGGTCCAGCCCATGCATGCTCTTTGAACGGTAGCAACCAGGCATTTTATGATGGCATGTTGCCAACTGAATTTACCATGTGAAAAAAACCCTCAGAATTCTCAGGATTATGAAGACATATTACACACACAAAATATGACTTCTGTATTTACTGTACAGCAAAGCCAATGATGATTGTGTACAATATTTGTGAAAGAATAAAGCAAAAATTCCAAGAGCATAAGCCCAATAATCTAGTCAAGTTTTCATCAAGATACCTAGAAAAACCCAACCAAGAAAAAAAACATGAAGTCACCTGTTGGCATAATGTACTTTTTTGGAATGTATACAGTTTACCCTTGTTCATTCAAATGCTTCTTTCTCTCCCCCACTATCTGGTTGCAATCCAGACATTGCATTGCAATGCTTATTCTCAAGTCTATATAAACACTGCCATCATTGGTTCTCTGTATTGTCAATTAAAACAACCAGCCACAGTGCTGAGCAATGGAGAGAATAGGGTGGAACATCCTGGGCCAGATGGGAGGAGAAGGAAAAGGGAGGAAGAGAGAGGAAGCAGGAGAGAAGACAATTGGCAGGAGAGGTCTTGGAACCACCTTTCAGGACCAAACCTTCTTCAGATCTGCAGAGATTTACATTTCATCATCATTTGTGCTTGTCCTCCCCTAGCCTACCTTCTGTCTTCCAGCACTCAGGATGCAATGTTGTAAATCAATATTATTTACTATTGATAAATCCTAAACAGCTGTATAACCAAGTCACCACACAGAGACTGGGATTTACTTAATTAACCTAGAACACAATGCTGGGCAATAATTACTCCATCCCAAACCTCCAAGCCCTCATAGTTTCCTAAGATTTAGATTCACCCATTATACTTGTTTGTGTGTGTGTGTGTGTGTGTGTGTGTGTGTGTGTGTGTGATATTAGGCCCGGTTCATTCTCCATGTCGTTCTAAGACCTCTCCTCCAGCCTGTCTCTCCAACTTCTCCTTCTCTGCCTCCCACTACTTCTTGTCCTCTGGCTCCTCCCCTCTTCAGCCTACTCCTCCATTGCTCAACATTGTGGCTGGTTGTATCCTAGATGCCCACACAAAGTTGAGACAGGTGATGCTTAGAATAAGTATCACAATGCAATATCCAGATTGAAACCAGAGAGTGTGGTGGAGAAATCAGCATTTGAATGAACAAGGGTAAAGTGTATACATTTCAAAAAAACAGTATACCAAAAATTCAATTTCCCTCCTCCTCAAGGAATCAAGGTGGATGGATACCTGCACAACTGTTATTCAACTTGCAGCGGAGTGAACAGTCTGTCCCTCGGGTGGAAAGGTGCCAAGATTAAGAATTAAAGAGAAATTTTAGAAAATGCAGAGAGATTTTTGTTCCGTGAATTCACACTCGGGTCAGATAAACTGCAGCCACTTTTCTCCTGGAAGGTAAGAGACAACCCAGGAGAAAAAAAAGCAGAAAACACAGGACACTTTGGAGGTAAAACTTCTTCCTCAATGAGAAGATGAAGAAAACAGCTGTACTAGTGAAAGCTAGATGAACAGAAGTGATAGAATGAATTTATCTGTGTATGTATAAAACTAATACATATATATATATATATATATATGTATACATACATATACACATATGTATATATATGAATGATTTGGTATTTTGAGACAGGGTTTGTCCTTTTAGCCCTGGCTATCTTGGACTAGATATAGACCAGGCTGACCTTGAACTCACAGAGACTGACCTGCTTCTTCCTGCCTGTGCCACCAAATCTAGCTCAGATTTTCTGTTTTTTGTTTGTGTGTTTGTTTTCTTTTTTAAGACTGGGTTTCATTGTGTAGGCCTGTCTGTGCTGGACTCTCATTGTCAAACAGGCCGACACTGAACTCACAGAGAACAGCCTGTGTCTGTCCCTCAAGTGCCTGGATTAAAGGCTTGTGCAAGCATGGCTGGCAAGACCCCAGACTTTTAAGGATTTGTTTAAGGGAGGGTTTCTTATATAACTATATTTTTATAAGATTTCTGAGTGGGTTGATGAGGGGACCTCTGATTATTATTATCTGTGTGTTTCTGTGCATGCAGACATTAAATCAGACATTGCTGCCATCCTCACAGTCCTTCTGAGATCAGCTTTTATTCTTATGTCTGGATTTATATTGAGGTCCACATGTAGAAAAATGCAAATAGATCCATACTTATCACCCTGCACAAAACTAGAATCTAAGTGGATCAAAGACGTCAATATAAAATTGGACACACTAAAGCTGTTAGAAAAAAAGTGGCACAGCAGACAACTTCTTGAACAGAACACTAAAACAGCACAGGCTCTAAGATGAACAATCAATAAATGGGACCTCATGAAACTGAAAAGCTTCTGTAAAGCAAAGGACACTGTCATCAGAACAAAACGACTGCCTACAGACGGGGAAAGGATCTTCACCAACCCTCTATCTGACAGAGGGCTAATATCCAGTATATATAAAGAACTCAAGAAGTTAAACAGCAATAAATCAAGTAATCCAATTGAAAACTGGGGTACAGAGCTAAACAGAGAACTCTCAATACAGGAATGTCGAATGGCTGAAAAACACTTAAAGAAATGCTCAACATCCTTAGTCATCAGGGAAATGAAAATCAAAATGACCCTGAGATTTCACCTTACACCCATCAGAATGACTAAGATCAAAAACTCAAGTGACAACACATGCTGGGGAGGATATGGAGAAAAGGAAACCCTCCTCCACTGCTGGTGGGAATGTAAACTTGTACAAACACTTTGAAAACCAATCTGGTGCTTTCTCAGACAATTAGGAATAGCACTTCCTCAAGATCCAGCTATACTACTCCTGGGTACATATCCAAAAGATGTTCAAGTACACAATAAGGACATTTGTTCAACCATGTTTGTAGTAGCATTATTTGTAATAGCCAGAAGCTGGAAACAGCCCAGATGCCCCTCAGTTGAGGAATGGACACAGAAATTGTGGTATATCTACAGAATGGAATATTACTCAGCAATAAAAAACAAGGAAATCATGAAATTTGCAGGGAAATGGTGGGAACTGGAAAAGATCATTCTGAGTGAGGTATCCCAGAAGCAGAAAGACACACAGGGTATATACTCACCCATAAGTGGATATTAAACACATAATATAGGATAAACATAGTAAAATCTGTACACCTAAGGAAGCTAGCTAATCAGGAAGGAGGACTCTGGCCATTCAGAAAGGAAAAGAGAATGGACATCAGAGGAGGGAGAAAACAGGGAACAGGACAGGAACCTGCCACAGAGGGCCTCTGAAAGACGCTATCCTGCAGGGTATCGAGGCAGATGCTGAGTTTCATAGCCAAAAATTAGGCAGAGTGCAGGGAATCTTATGAAGGAAGTGGGAGATAGTAAGACCTGGAGAGGACAGGAGCTCCACAAGGACAGCAACAGAACCAAAAAATCTGGGCACAGGAGTAAGGACCACTCATGGAGATGGCCTGGAACCCCTGCACAAAGGTAGCCCATGGCAGTTCAGTATCCAAGTGTGTTCCATAGTAATGGGGACAGGGACTGTCTCTGACAGAAACTGATTGGCCTTCTCTTTGATCACCTCCCCCTGAGGGGGGAGCTGCCTTACCAGGCCACAGAAGAAGACAATGCAGCCAGTCCTGATGAGACCTGATAGACTAGGATCAGAGGGAAGGGGACGAGGACCTCCCCTATCAGTGGACTGGGGGAGGGTCACAGGTGTGGAAGAGGGAGGATGGGATTGAGAGGGAGGAGGGAGGGTACTACAGGGGGGATACAAATTGAATAAACGTAATTAATAAAGATAAAAATAATAAAAATAGAGTATTAATCACTGTCATACAAAATCGATACAATTCATCTGATAGTGGGATTTGGGGGTGAAGAAAACTCAGAGACCCGCCTGCTACTGCTGGCAGGTACGACAGGCGTGTGCCGCCACACCCGGCTTTTTTTTTTTTTTTTTTTTTTTTAATGTTTGAAAGAGATTCATTACCTGTGTCTGACTCCCAGTGACGTAATCAAAGCGGCAGAGACGCAAGGACCCCTTCTCCACCTCCCAGGGACTGGACATTTTTTACTGTAGCAGCAGCAGCAGTATTAAAATGTGTTGACTTCCGGGGCGACAACGTCACAAAGGTCCTGTCCAATTGTGATCCAGGGATAGTATGGCGTGCCAGGGAGATTTGCAGACACCGGGAGCAAGGGACAGGCCGTGTGGGCTCTGAGGCCGATAATGGGCCACAAAGCAGCAGCTGCATGAAGAGTCTCCCCGCGCCTACTTCTGGGATTTTCGCCAAGACTGCCGTGAGGGAAGCTGAGTGACGCCAGGGCGTGACTTTGGGAACAGAACGCAGAGCATTCTGGGATTTGTAGGCATTCCCCGGGACTCGTTCCAGGCTGCTGAAGGGGAAAGACGCCGAGCCGGAACTGCGAGTAATCCCAGTATGCATCACGCTACCCGGACGCCATTTTGGTAGTTCCCAGTACAATCCCAGAAATCCTTGCTCCGACGCCATGTTTGTAGTTCTCAGTTACAATCCCAGAAATCCTTGCTCCGACGCCATGTTTGTAGTTCTCGGTTACAATCCCAGAAGAACTTGCTCTGCCATGTTTGTAGTTCTCAGTTACAATCCCAGAAGACCTTACTCCGACGCCATGTTTGTAGTTCCCAGTACAATCCCAGAAATCTTTGCTTTTACGCCATGTTTGTAGTTTTCAGGCATGGGGGGGGGGGCTTTGCCGCAATGCATCTTGGGACTCATGGTCCTTCCTGAGCAGTGAGCGCTGCCAGTTGAGAAAGGAAGGATGAAGGTCCCTCTGTGACTAGAAGCTTTGTGTTGACATCCCCTGGGGGGGACTAGGGAGTCTTGGCTCACAACAGGGCAGATGGGGAAGCGAAGCTGGAAGGGGCATGACTTCCACGATCATCCTGCCACAACCCTGCCCGGTTTTCCCTGGTCAGCATCCTTCTTATCCCAAGCTGTTCACTTGAACTCAGTGACCCGCACACGGAGGTTCGGGGTTCCCCGCCTCCTCCCCCTGTCCACCGCCCGCTGTCCGTCTGTCTGCCTGGAGTTCCCAGCGGCTCGTGCGTGGGGCAGGACTGCAGGCAGGGGGATGGCGGGAAGAGAGAGGCAGTAGCCTCCGCTCCCACCCCCCTGCGTTCATCCCGTTGGAGATGGGTGCACCCGCCCGGTTGTCAGGCTGTGCAAGGCCTTGTATAGGCTGTTCCGGCGCCCTCTGCTGGCCTGCGGGTGCACGAGCCGGCAGGACACTATAAATAATGCTTAGGGTGCTGGGGGCTGAACAGACAAGGTGCTCTATGCTTAGTGGTTAGGGTCCTGGGCACTCAGTACAGAATGATCTGGCCACATCTGCTGACCTGAAAGCATACACATATGCTGCTAAACAGTCTATAAATAAAGGTTAGGGTGCTGAGGGCTGTGTTGATAAGGTGCTCTGGCTTAGTGGTCAGGGTGCTGGGGACTTAGTACATAAAGATCCTGCCATCTCTGCTGACCTGAAGGCATACACAATGGGCAAAGAGAAAAAGAAGGAGATGGAGGAGGAAGAAGAGGGAAGGAAAAAAGGAAGGAAGGAAGGAAGGAAGGAAGGAAGGAAGGAAGGAAAGATATCCGTGGTTTTTACAGAAAAAACTTCCAACTATTTGAAACTTTGGTACTATTTGGTGTTGATTTACTGATCTTGAACCAACATATACAGGCAAATATCCAGGCATTCTATAGTGATATAAATAACTGATGTTTTTGCACATGGTAAATAAAATATTTTCAGCCAGAAGGAAGGTGTGGAACATGGCAAAGCAACACATTATATTTAGCATCTGTATCAAATAAGAATGATTTGATGAACTTTTTCAGAGGAAGCTTCTCATATTCAAAGACAGGAACTATCCCTGTCTTAATGTATTTTGTAGAGGCTCCTACACCCTCCCAGTACCCAGGAGATTCTTACTTGCATGAATTCTCAATTGACATTTTTGATTGCTCACCTCCTGCTTTGCTATGTAGAAATAATAAACCATAACCAACAAACATTTCAAAAAATATTAAACCAGAAAATATGTGATGTTTATTTCTGAGCCCAGCTATTCCATATGGAGTGCAGAGTATGCAGTGCCCTCCAGAAAATGCTGTTGAGCAAAACTTAATTGGGATCTATAGAAGATACAAAGTGGGCTTCTACCATGGCTGGTAAGCCTCACTCATAAGCAAGGGAAGCACTAGGATCTTATATTATTGCTAAGTAATTTACTGTGGTCATGCCAATGAAATGTTTTAATCTTATAATTAAAAGTACAAGTTAAAATGGAAAAGGGTTCTGTCTCAGTGTGGATGTGTATGACTGTAATTATCTTACATGATTTGGGGATTGAAAGCTTTGAATTGAAGACATTGAATTTGAATATATTTCAGCAAATTTTTCCTAGTGTGAGATAAAAGATGTAATTAATGTAAAAGTATATTTAATAAAAGTGTAATTAATGTAAAAATATAACATGTTTAATAACCAAAATGTTTATAATTTCTTGGAATATGTTCAATGCCATAAGATATAGACAAAGCAGCCATTTCACCTAAAATGCAATCTATGTTGTTGACACAATGCCATAAGAAGATCCTTTTCTGGACAAAAGCCTTTCTAGAGTCAACAGTAACTGAAAAGTAATTGTTTTCACAGATCATTTAGTATTAATAAGGTAAGATGAAGGAGAATCGAAGACTGTGATCCCCTTATTAAATTTTAGAACACACTGTGCTCATGAGCCTGTGCCATATCATATCTCAGTATGTTGGTAAGTGTAATGTGAGGGTTTTAAACCAACAAGATATAAACTTAGGACTCATTTACACTCATGAGCCTTGGATTCTTGATGATACCCTTCACATAGGGTATCATAGAAGATTGCTGGGCGAGTCAATTGAAATTTTCATTCAGTCAACAATAGGTAAATAAAAGATGAACTCTGAATGTTTTGTATGCTGTGTAATTTTTTACTATTTTAGGACTCAGCAGTATTTGACATTCATATTCACATAGTCTGTAATCATGCTTCCAGTCATAATATATTAAGTAAGTTAGCATGTCTCTTGTACAGATAATTGAGAACCTATTTAGAACTTATTCATAGCATGAGTTATTAATTAGTTTACAGAATGTTACATTGTGTTATTAATTTTCAGAAGTTGATTTTTTGTTATCAAGATAATACTGGTGTCTTATTTTCAAAAGATTTATTTATTTATTATGTATACAATGTTGTCTGTGTGTACACCTGCGTGCCAGCAGAGGGCACCAGGTCCCATTTTAGATGGTTATGAGCCATCATATGGTTGCTGGGAATTGAACTCAGGACCTTTGGAAGAATAGCCAGTGCTCTTAACCTCTGAGCCATCTCTCCAGCCCAATACTGGTATCTTAACAAAAATATAGAACCATTTCTTCCTTTTCCCTCATGTGGAATACTTTGAGGAGTATGGCAGTGAGTTCTATGAGACTCTTGTAGAATTCATGCTGAGTCTCCAAATCTAGGCTTAATTTATTTTTTCTTTTTATTGAGAGATTTAAATTATTGTTCCTATATTGATTGTTATGTGTCTGTTTGAAAAATTTATTTCATCTTAATTTAATGTTGTTAATTTTATACATCTAGAAGTCTATTTATTTTTTACATTTTAATGTTCAGCTGAGTGAAGACTGTTACTATATGAACCTATGATTCTCTGCTTTCCTCAGTTCATGTTGTAGAGTCTGTTAGATGAGAACTGATGCAGGTGACATGGAATTCAAAGAGAGAAGACAGGCATTTCCAGAAGCAGGATTTCTCTCAGACACTGATACCCTAGCCTTTTGAGGGGAAAAGTGAAGATTCTGTGCTGTAGTACTTCGGACTTGAGGGTTTCAGTGGCTTGATGAGGAAAAGGACATATCATGGGGTTTCAGTGTATAAATTTCTGGCTTTAGTCTGGCCTCTGAGGTTTCATTTAGTAATTGTGTGTGCTGGCAGTTATTTTTGAACATGAGGTAATTTTTAGCAAGCATTTTCCAGTCTGAGACATTTTCTTTAGTGTCTGTCTTTGGGTTTCTATTACTGTGATCAAATACTGTAACAATAAAATAAACACCATAATTTTGCAAAAAACCAATGACGAGTGTTTGGAAGGAGAAATGAGGAGGGGGTAATGATGAAATTATATTATACTTGAAATTACATCATAATTGGCAAATAAAAATAATAAATAAAATAAATAAATAAATAATAAATAATAATAAATAAAATCACTATTGTTGATGTTCTTGAAGGCAACAAAAATTCTACTTGAATTTTTTTCTAGCAATCTTTACCATGTTCTTGTGTTCTTCCTGGTTCTCAAACCCCAAAAGACCAGGAATAAATAGACTCCGCTGTGAATACATGAGGTTTTTTTTTAAATTGTATATGAGTTCAAACACAGGATGCAAACCTCCTTTAGAAACAGAAGAGGAATGCAGCCTCAAGGTCTTAGGGGTACAGAGATTTTAAGGGGAAAAATGTAAGCAGTGAGGTACATGCTTTGGCATTATATGATTGGGTAAAGGAAATTGACTTTTGAAATGATTGGGCCACTTTAGGCACCAAGACTACAAACAGTTCTGGCCTGGTCATATGGGCTGGTTTCCTAGCAACTGTATAATTAGAGGGCAAGGAAAGAATGCTGTAAGACGAGTTCTCCTCAGGGCATTATGGACAAGTCTGCACCCAGGTAGCCTTAGATAAGGCCTTAATCTTTAATAATAGCCACTGATTTTTAATCTTTTGATCTCTCACTTGTAGAAGTGAGTGTCTTCCTACTGAGGTTTTACTGAACTATGTTTATAAATTCCCATTATTTTCTTGTTTTTTGGTGTTTCCTTATATTTTTTAAATATTCATTACTATTGGGTACTTTCATTCCTAAATTTAACTATAACTTAGCTACAATCACTTAGAACATTTAGTTTTCTTATAAAAAGAAATGTTTTTCAGCCCTGAAAACATACATACAAATAGCATTTCAAAAATATGCACTTAATATTTCAAAACACATGTATATATAACACATGAAATAATAATGAAGAAAGAAGCCAAGAATTTGAAGTTGAGAAGAAGAGAGTATGTGGGAAGGCCTGGAGGAAGAAAAGGGAAGGAAGAAGTTTTATAATGAAATTATAGCTTCAAAATAAGTGTTAATATCCAGAAGATAATACCCAGTATGGTGAGACTGAGGCAGGGCAATTTA